ACAGCTAGTGATTGGCAATGTTAAAAAAATCTTTAAAATGGTATAGCAGTTAGGGAACACGTTAATAAGTTTATTTTCATACATGAGCATAAAAATGTCACTGCAAGAGGTGTAAGACTCAGACATAGATTGGAGTAAGTATGATTTTAATTGAATGCACTCATTCACTAAATGCTCGTCTACGTCATCGGGATTGTAATCAATAATATGAAGTGTAATTTCCAAATCTATGTTTTCGATATTTTTGTCTTGCAAATCCATTAAAAATTTGAATTTCTTGCTATATGTCTCATAGACTTGTCTCCTTTTATTTAAATCCATAATCAGCTTATCCAACGCAACTTTTAACGTGTCTCTTTAAATCTTTCTGCGCCGTATACTGAGAATTCACCTGTAGACTTATCTGAAAATTTTGGGATAATGCATCTCTTGTTTATGTAATTTAGTCTATTATTACACTAGTACTTAATTTTTTAGCTTTTTCGTCGTATTCCTGTAACATTTGATCTGATTGATGTCGTATGTTGCTCACAAAGTCTTTTAAAGAAACAATTAACTTGTGCCTTCACAAATGTCTAAACCAGGGCTCTGTATTTTTTTATTAACTAAATGAAATCTCTCCAAAACTTCTTCCCAAAAGATAATCAAAATTGCAGTCTCGAGTTTCGCCATTTTATTGAATAAATTTCGTGCCTCTTTCCGGAAATCAACTTTCTCAACCTCATTTTCGCTGAAACTTTTGAAAATTTTCATAATGTCATAATTATTTTTTAAGGCTTTGACAGCATCATAGTGGCAAGACCATCTTGTCTGGCTTAAACTTTTAACCTGAATTTTAATTTTATTTCACGATTCAACAGTTCCCACCTATGGGTCTATTGTTTTTCGCGGGGCCTGGGGGCCCCTTGTAACCTCGGAGCCCTGGGCTGCAGCCCAAACAGCCCGTAGGTAGATCCGGCCCTATGAACCAGATAGGTATAGGAAACCCTAATATATTTTGAAAGAGCATATAAATGTGCTTCGACTTATTTTAAAAAATACATAGTGTTGTATTTGAAATAACGAAGTTTTTATGTAAAATAAATATTTAAAATAGACCAGCAATTTTTGATACCTCTGTATACATTTAAGGGAGCAATAACTTTTTTTAGTAATGTTTATCTCTTTGACTTCAAAGTCAGCACAGGAATTAACTCTGAAAAGTAATGCACAGGGTATTGACAACGTTTTTTTATAGCATGCATATTTAAATATCTTTAAATATCTCAAAAACAAAAGCATTTAAACATATTAAACCCTTATAATAAATGACTTATTCTATGCCCAAGAATCCAAAAATTATATAAAATACCGGGTGTTCCATAAGAAAAAATATAACTTTGGTATGGATCTTAGTTCTGACACATCCTGTACATTTGAAAATAATTTTAAATTATGCACATTGCCTCTCTACATATACCCATAAAAAAATTTGTTTCTACATCTTTCCGTTTTCGTATAATTAACCGAGGCGAATGAGGTGCGCCACCCTGTATACATGTTTTTTTACGCATCTAGAACATTAGAAGTTTGAATGTTTGTTTGAAACACCCTGTATATCAAAATATATTGACCACACTGTACATATTTCCAATAAGCGTCTCTACAGCGACTCGACAAAAATATCAATCAATTCTAAATTGGATACAAACATTCATTTTATAAAAGTTCGACGAATAATTCAAAATGTTTACAAATGTTTTATAAAAACTTATCAGTCACCTAAACAGTTCTATTATTATCAAATTCTTAGTATAATAAAGATATAAACTCTATACAGGCTGAATCACATTTTTTAATAAGGGTTCTATAGATTTTTTTGTGTGTTTTCTTTTTCTAGATTATGTCAGATTCGCCAAGTAAGTGTTCAATGCATTGGGATGACATAAAATACATCTAATAATTTTGAAGAGGATAAAGAAAGTTTTTGTTAAGTATGTAGTACCGATGAAGTTTCTATCAGCACTCTATGGTAGTTTTTTTCTTTTTATATTGTTGACAATATACAGGGTGGCCCGAATTATAATCGTGAAACTTTGGCAACATATTCTTCAGATAAAAATAAGTAAAAAAGTTCCTAAAGGTATGTCCTAAAATTCTTCGTTTTGGAGATACAGGGTGTAGAAGTTTCATTTTTATTTAGGGCTTTTCCAAATATATATGAATGTTTTAGACATGAGAAATTCGATTTTGATGTTACTATGACTCCTATTTATAGGAGGCGCAACCTACATGTTTTTTAACGGTTTTGATGAGTACTAACCTTTGAATAAGAAGACTAAGGAAGGAGCATATCAAAAATCTTAGGTCCACCGCGATGGGCCTCAAATATGGGCGACTTAAATTCCGGTTTATCAGTGCCGTTCTAATTTTATATAAAAAATGTAAAACTATGATGTAGGGTAGACGTGGGGTAGACTCAATAATTTGTTAGTTTATTTTACGTTGTGAATAAATGTTGGTAGTTATTAAAATTGTTATAAAAATATAAAATTCTAATGAAAATAGATAGGTTACAATAATTATTTATAACCATAAACATCCGATACGCTACTGAAGCAGGTAAGTCAAATTGACGTATCTAAATTCTTTGACATCTAATCTTTGACAAGTAGTAAATAAAAGCAAAAATGCAAGAAAAAATATATAATTAGTTAATTTAAGTGAATTTCATAAATTATCGGTTTACTACACGTATGTATATTATATAGTCACTTACTAGCGAAAAGTTGTTCCATTATTTCACTCGATTTTTGCCGAGATCTACCGCACGCTACACAACCAACTATTTTAAAGTCTTTTTCGATAAATCGCGATACTGTCACTGTTAATTTAACTTCTGCCACAATTTCCATCTAGATTTACTACCTTTATACAACTATCAGTAGTAGAATAAATAATAAATAACATAAAATAGGCTCCGTAAAGACTGTCAAATCCACAAAATTTCAAATCAAATTCAAATGTGTCAAATGAATCGTCAAACAGAATTGTCAAGGATCCCCACCCTAGAGTCCTTTTTCCGCCCACCATGCATGAATACATGGATAGCATTATGCTCCTTCCTTAGTCTTATTCAAAGGTTAAAACACATGTAGGTGGCGCCGCCTATAAATAGGAGTCATATTGATATCAAAATCAAATTTCTCATATTAAAAAACTTCCAGCCACCAATTTTCATCCAAATATTGACGTTATTTCATAAATTATTTGGAAAAAATCGAAATAAAAACGAAACTTCTACACCCTGTATCTTTGAAACTAAGTGTTTTAGAACATACATTTAAACGAACTTTTTACTTATTTTTATCAGCAGAATACGCTGCCGAAGTTTCCGGAATACAGTTCGGACCACCCTGTATAAAATAAACTTTTTTCATAATTCTACATTATACGATACTCCGTTCTTCTTTCTACACCATTTTTAATGTTACAAAAGGTCGAACTAAACCATTTTTTTAGATAAAAAAAACTTTCTTTACTCTCTTCAAGTACAAAATATTGGACAATGGGTAATTTCTACCGGTTTCTATAATGTATCAACTAAAAAATCCGTCAAACACAGCAAGAAAAAAAATGACATCGTTCGCATCTGTTCCTTAAAAAGATATCGAATATCTCAGAGTTTGTTGAACACATGATTTGTGCGATTAGAACATTAACGTTAAGTAAGCCCGGTACTCTTTCACTCTGCCTACTCGGGGATGGGAGGATACACACAGCGCATATTTAAAAAAAAATCAAGCCTGTCGTCGTTTTCTGTCACGATTAAAACGCGTTAGGTATGTGCACATCTATCGACTAATTAAAATATCGATATCGATGTTTTCTTTCTCGAAAATATCGATACCGATATTTTAAGGTATCGATATTAGTTTTATTTAACGCTAGATCGTGAGATTACTATAAGGTACGTGAGAAGAACTGTAGTTGGGTTGTCGAGGAAAGTATATATTATTACCACCCATTAAATCGTGACAATAACGAACCAATAGGCAGTACGCAAAATATTCCGGTACGCTCCAAAAAAAAAGAAGGTTAATACCAACTATAAAGAACATAATATGAAAGCATTTTAGCCCAATTGTTACTTATAGTATACTTTTCAATAAAAAGATGATGGAATGAGCTTTCCCAAAAACTTAGGTAAGACTTTGGATATGCTCCTAAGTAGGATTTTTTCGGTACAGCGCCCCTTAGGAACCAGGATTTCCCGTTGTTTTCGGTACTTTCGGTACTAATTTTTGTTCAATGGTGGTTCAATTCAGTCAGAAAGCAAGGGATGGTTTTTCAAAGTAAAATGGATAAAAAATTGAGATTTTTAATAAAAATAATATCAAATTATTAAGCAATCAGTCATGAAAAAATTAACATGAACACAAGTAAAGAGAAAAGTATAGGTACTTAACTAAAATTTCACATCGAACAACATAAACCAACTTAACTGAATTTGAGACAAAAGCCCTAAAATATTGAATTAAAAATGCAAATATCTATTAAAACATAAGATAATAAATATTATAGTGTAACAATCAAATTTCCTCGCAACGACCTCTATGTGCTGACTCATAAATTATCGCAAATAACTATTATTTCTGCATCAGGTTTAGTATAATTTTATTGTTAAATATTATTTTATTTAAATTTTACAATTATGCAACCCGATATACACCGCGATATTATACAGCTACAGCTACACAATATTGTCACTGGATGCGGCCACCGCCAGCAGTAGGCTTTTTGTCGACCTCTCTTTATCTTTGATCATCACCTGTCCGTCACTGTCAGATCAAATCAGATGTTTTTGGATTTATTTATCCTTTGTTTTGGTTATTGAAATTTTATAATTACCAGATAAAATTTCGTAGTTAAATTGTTTATTTTTGGTGTGGATCGCAGTGTGCAATTCGTTCATTTAATTGTGGGAATTTCTGAGTACAGTTCGTTCATTGACCGGATACGGAATATGGCAGTGGAAAATATTCTAGATCATCGTTTTTTATTTATGTCTTTTTGTGAGTTGGACTAGAGTAGATATATAGTTCTCTATCCCCTGGACGGAGATTTTCGGTTGAAATCTGGTTTTGTGAAGGAAATCCCATCCTGGCGTGACTTCTTGTGTATCCACCGACTGGGATATCATCGTGAAGAACTGGCTGCCGTTTCGTGAAGCATTCCCTGTTGGTGATTAGCAAGTCTTCGTAATGAAGGATTAAATCTTCCGGAACATATTTGGTTAGAGACGTGGTTGAATGTTGTTGATTTGTATGGACCGCCGACCAATTTTCGAAATGGGATTAAAATAGCCAAAATTTTCCGACCGATATTCCGATTCCACGTGCCCAAGAAGTCCCCGAGAGTTCCAAGAGCAAGAAGACCGATCCAGACCGTAGAGCACAGAACAGTTCAGAATTCAGTGTAGAGGTACCCGTTGGACATCATAAACCCTCGTTGAGGTAAAGTTCAGATTTAATTAGTCCTTCTTTATTACCTTTATTAACTCCTACACGTTGTGCTAGTCCTTGTTCTATAATTGAGGCCCTTTTCTAAGACAACCAATATTATTTAGGGTTTTTTATGTCACCTTTTCAAAACCTACACTTGCCTGGCATCCGTACGTCTGCTGACATCCGTGGGCTCCAGTGACATTCATCGAGCTGCTGTACACCGTCGTAGCAACCCTGTAACTATATAGACACCGTAGCTCAGCCGGAGGAACTTTCGAGTGTTTCAAGATTATACATTGTATCGATTAGAGTACGACTGTTTAGATTTAGATTTGATTTATGTAAACCACCCTGATTGTATCTTTAGTATTAACTTAGATAAGGAGCTTTGACGTCATAAGTTTAGTTCTTATTGATTTAGATTCCGATTTGGTTTACATTTTCGGTCATTTTTCTATTCATTCCTATTTAACTTTTTGAAATTTTAATAAATTGCTTAAATATTTTTAGTAGTATTATTTACAGTCTAGTCTCATAGTTAAGTTCAAGTAATTATAGTAACATTTGAAGTTCATGGTAGTTGCACTCAACAGTTCGAGGTTAGTGTTGAAGTCTACTTAATAGTAACATCTTTTATGGCGAGTTCGTAGAGTATAATCTCGTGGCGCCCTTTTATTAAGATCTTTGAACCCCGACCACCCGGCTGTTAAAATTAAAAGCTATAGTCTATAAAATGAATAACTTTGAACTTTGACCGTTATTTTCACCAACATGGCAAATACAAAATCCATCTGTCTAAAAAGTTACTGATATTCTTTAAATTGAGTGCCTGAACGAATCAGATAGGTAACTCTTTTTACTTTCGTGAAATAGAAAAGGAAAATAATAAAACAAGTGACAATTCTTCCTCTTCTTGCCAAAATCAACACGAAATGTCATAATTGACAAAAGTAAAATGTCATCAGCTTTTGACATTTCTAAATATTAGACCAATGCCGTCTCTATTAGAACAGCCACGGAGCGAGATTTATGACGTCACGCTAGTTAGATAATACGGATTAATAAATATGTTGGAGAATACATGGAAACTAATAAATAATAAAATAATTATTCCTCGTATTTTTGGTTTGTATTTTAAAAATGATATAGTTTACATGAAATATACATAATATACAGTTAATAAATACAATATAATATATACCTATTTATTGTAATAAATACTTTGGCTAATAAACATGAACCATACAAATGCAGCAAATGTTTTACAATATACAAATAATGAATAGGTGGTACATAAGATAATGGGTAAAATGTAAAATATATTTTAAATTTTGGGGATCGAAAATCGATCTAATTTAACAAAAAACATTCAATATCTACTAATAGTGATGTATTATTATTTGCATTCACAAAATTTATTTATATATTATAATGTTTACTGCAATTAATAAACTAATCTAAACTTGTCAAAAGATGACCACATATTTTTTAAATTATTATTCTTAACACAAAAACTATCTACATTGACTATGGAGTACGATTTCAGTCATATTGTAAAACATTTGCTGCATTTGTATGGTTCATAGTTTATCTGCCAAAGTATTTATTAATATAAATAGGTATATATATATATATATATATATATATATATATATATATATATATATATATATATATATATATATATATATATATATATATATATATATATATTGTATTTATTAACTGTATATTATGTATATTTCATGTAAACTATATCATTTTTAAAATACAAACCAACAAATCGAGGAATAACTATGTTTTTCATGTATTCTACAACATAGTTATTAATCTGTAGTATCTAACTAGTGTGACGTCATAAATCTCGTTCCGAGACTGTTCTATTAGAGACGGCATTGCGTCAGCATGGCCGCAAGTTGCTAACCTAATAAAATTAACACTAGAAAAGCCCGCGGGAACTGTCAGATTCAAAGTTATTCGTTTTACAGACTATAGTGGCCTCTATGCAACTCATCCCGATTAAGTAAACTTGTGTTTTATTGAACTTCAAATTAGAAAAGGACGCGGCAATAGGAACTTCAAAAGAGAAAAGAAGCAAAACCAATAAGAAATAGCATCATTACTAATTTAGAAGAGTTTGATTTTGACCGCTAGAAAGTAACAAAGGACTTTCTCACATAACAAAAAAAGAATTTTTTAAGTATTGTTACCGAAGCCCAATAAATCAATAAATCCATAAATCGATAAACTGATAAACCGATCTTGTCTGGTCTTGCACAGGCTGCTCGAGCGTCTGTAGTAGCACAGAATATCTAGCTACGCAACAGAAAAATACTCGAAATGAAAGAGCTAAAATTGCACAAATAGAATACTAGATGGCGCGACAATATCATAATCAGAATATAATTAGAAATTTTGAACTTTCGGTTTTGGATCGACGGCTCGTCGACGGCCTTATAGCTCGGCTAAATATGCACAGTTGCCGGATTCAACAAGACTTGAATTGGCATCCCATTCTTTTTACTGTGTATAGTGCAGTATGTGTTTCTTTCTATTCTTTTTTTCTTGCCAGATACACTTATATTAATTATTCCTTTGGCTATTAAAATAGTTTTAAGTATAATATTACAAAACATATACATTTTTAATATACACTACCTTATAATGTTAACTAAGAAAATACCTTTAATTACCTTTAAAATTAATATTATTCAGGGCGATTGATAGTGATATTTATTAATGCTGGAACGTTAGTAATGAAATATAGGTTTAATAATAATGGAAATAATTTATTAAAATGCAGTACAAAAAATGTTAACTGACTAAAAAATACTATAATAACAAATTTCTTCCGTTTGCCACGTTATTTATATAGACCTAGGTAGATTTTAAAAAGTGACACAGGTACAATTAATAATATATTAGTTCGGCATAAAAGTTGCTGTCACGACATCGAACAATAAATTAAAATTCGTAAAATAAATTAAAATTATTAATTAAACAAATCTTTATAAAGAAACGCAAGTATACCAAATTTGGGCCTAATCGAACTCCAGGAAATGATATCATAATAGTGTACTATATTATGGTACCACTCGATATACTTTAAGGTACCATAATATTGCAATGTCACCGAAGATCCGTAGTATACAAAATTTAAGAACAATCGAACGCCATGAAATGGTATCGTAATATGGTACTATATTAAGGTACCACTTTATATACATCATAGTACCATCATATTACAATGTCACCGAAAATACGTAGTATCCCAAGTTTAAGCCCAATCGAACGCCATGTACGTAATATAGTACTATATTATGGTACCAGTTGATATGCTTCATGGTACCATAATAATGCAATGTCATCAAAATACGCAAGTATATATCAAATATGAGCTCAATCGAACGCCAGGAAATGGTATTGAAATATGGTACTATATTAAGGTACCATTTTATATGCATCATAGTACCATCATATTACAATGTAACCGAAGATACGTAGTATAACAAGTTTAAGCCTAATCGAACGCCAGGAAATGGTATCGTAATATGGTACTATATTATGGTACCTCTTATTATGCTCCATGGTACCATAATATTACAATATCACCGAAGATACGTAGTATCCCAAATTTAAGCCCAATCGAAGCCATGTACATAATATGGTACTATATTATAGTACCAGATTATATGCATCATAGTACCATATATTACAATGTCACCGAAAATACGTAGTATGCCAAGTTTAAGCCCTATTGCCGCCATGTACCTAATATTGCTATGTCATCAAATATGGTACTATAGAAGGTACCACTTTATATGCTTCATGGTACCATGATATTACAATGTCACTGAAGATATAGTATACCAAGTTTAAGCCCAATCGAACGCCATGTATCGTAATATAGTACTATATTATGGTATCACTTGATATGCTTCTGAAAAAAACGGCGTCCAGTTGGCTTGAGAAGGACGATCGATGACATTTCCCATATAAATTTACATATAAAATGACAGCGATATTCATTTCATAGCTATCACTAACGCCGTTTTTTCCCGATTATACGATATGAACTTGGTATGAACACAATCGAACGTCAGGAAGTGGTAGAACTATAATAATAGTTCTGTAGAACAATCCTTATTATATTGTCGCCGAATTACAATGAAAATCAGGATTCAATTATACAATCAAACGTCAGAAAGTGATTGTAATTTAGCTCATAAGATTTAATTCCAACTAACATGGCAAACTGAAAAAAACAGCTCTGATCTATTTTAATATGTTTAAATGATGTAGCAAATTTGAAGGTAGGCTTTATCAGGAAGTATTACGATATGAATTACACAATGGCAACACTGCACAAAATTCTTTTAAATTTTGTTTGTAGAAAACTGTTTTCTTTTAAATTTATTGCCCTCTATTATGTAGTAGCGAAACTACCACATCAAAATATCTGATTTGGAGACAGGCTTTTAAAGCCTGTCTCCTTTTGCTTCCTACAATTTTATACATGTAACGAGGCTTCTGTTGCGTAGCTAGATATTCTGTGGTAGTAGCCTTTACGGTTGAATTACACCTTCTTTATTTTTTGTCCCGAGCGTACCTACCCGTCGTATCAGCCTCAAAAATAAATCGCTACTCTCATCGTCACCTCGCGCTCATCCGAGACCACAGCTAGCGCCAGCGTTCGTCAAGAGTTCTTCGAGACGCACTCGTCCACCGCGCTCTTTGGCCCCAAGTCCTCGAACGGCGCGATCTCCGCTCTGCGCCACCGGTCGCGCACCTCCTCCACCCGCTCGAACACGCGCAGGAAGTTGAGGCCGGCGAGGGACATGAGGTCGCGCTCCGACCACGCGGGATCGCCCAGGAGTTCGGCCAGGAGATAGGGGTAGCGGGAGACGTCCTCCAGGCCGACGGGGGTCACGTTGATGCCGTCGTAGCCCGCTCCTATACCTGGAAAAATTATAATTAATTATGAATAAAAACTAGCCATCGGAACTATCGAATTGTTACTGAATGAATGATTCCAACTATATCGAATGGTTTTATTCGTATAAAATCATTCATTCATTGTATAGTCTATAAAATGAATAACTTTGAATTTTGACCGTTATTTTTTACCAACATGGCAAATATCAAATCACTCTATCCAAAAAGTTACTGATATTCTTTAAAATGAGTGCCTGAACGAATCAGATAGGTAACTCTTTTTACTTTCATGAAATAGAAAAGGAAAATAATAAAACAAGTGACAGTTCTTCCTCTTCTTGCAAAAATCGACGCGAAATGTCATAATTGACAAAAGTAAAATTTCATCAGCTTTTGACATTTCTAAATATCAGCTCAATGCCGTCTCTAATAGACAGCCTCGGAGCGAGATTTATGACGTCACGCTAGTTAGATACCACGGATTAATAAATATGTTGTAGAATCCATGGAAAACATAATTATTCCTCGTATTTTTGGTTTGTATTTTAAAAATGATATAGTTTACATGAAATATACATAATATACAGTTAATAAATACAATATATATATATACATATATATATATATATATATATATATATATATATATATATATATATATATATATATATATATATATATATATATATATTATATATGCTATATATATATATATATATATATATATATATATATATATATATATATATATATATATATATATATATATATATATATATATATTTTTTTTATTCTTTTCTTTGACCTCTCAATATATATTTTATTTAATTTTTTTCTTGGCTTTAGGTCAGGTAAAAATGCGAAAAACGGTTTTTTTTATATTAAATATTTCATGACGTTTCGACCTGGTAGGGTCTTTATCAAAATTTATTACTTGAACGTAGATTGTTTACTTATTACAACTTATCATTTTCTTTCTGAAATCTTAGCGAAGAACATATATCCAAATTGGTTTCCACAAACATAACACAAACATATCAATAAAGTCGTCACAATTTTTGCACAGAGACATACACATTTAATGGATTTTACAACACTGAATGAACAGTCAAATTCAGTGTTGTAAAATCCATTAAATGTGTATGTCTCTGTGCAAAAATTGTGACGACTTTATTGATATGTTTGTGTTATGTTTGTGGAAACCAATTTGGATATATGTTCTTCGCTAAGATTTCAGTAAGTTGTAATTCTAAACAATCTACGTTCAAGTAATAAATTTTGATAAAGACCCTACCAGGTCGAAACGTCATAAAATATTTAATATAAAAAACCGTTTTTCGCATTTTTACCTGACCTAAAGCCAAGAAAAAAAATTAAATATATATATATATATATATATATATATATATATATATATATATATATATATATATATATATATATATATATATATATATATATATATATATATACCTATTTATAGTAATAAATACTTTGGCAAATAAACTATGAACCATACAAATGCAGCAAATGTTTTACAATATACAAATAATGAATAGGTACATAAGATAATGGGTAAAATGTAAAATATATTTTAAATTTTGGGATTTGAAAATCGATCTAATTCAACAAAAAACATTCAATATCTACTAATAGTGATATATTATTATTTGCATTCACAAAATTTATATGTATATTTTGAAAGCATCAATGTTTGAAAAATTTATGTTTGAAAATAATACAATATCATAGAAAAAAAGGCGTCAGCGATGGCTATGAAATAAAGATCGCTGTCATTTTATATGTAAAATTATTCTAAAATTTTTGATTTTCTTGGGATTTAGGTTCGGGACAAACGCTGATTAAATTTTCATAATTTTTTTTGGTTTAAAAAAAACGTTATAGCTAACGTTTACAGCCTTCATCAGTGTTGTGTCATATGATTATTTATTTTATTAGTCATATAATCCATAAAATTACATATACGAGGAATAATTACGTTTTCCATGTATTCTACAACATATTTATTAATCCGTAGTATCCAACTAGAGTGACGTCATAAAATTCGTGGCTGTTCTATTAGAGACGGCATTGCATCAGCATGGTCGCAAGTTGCTAACTTAATAAAATTAGCACTAGGAAAGCCCGCGGGAACTGTCAAATTCAAAGTTAATCGTTTCACAGACTATATACTACAGCATATGTGACAACCTCTCCGTGCAACTAAATGGTTATCGTTGAGTCACGACTATCGAATGCTTTTGATAAATGAAATATTTAGTATTCGTTTGATTTTTGTGTGCGTCAGTGCATTATTAGTTCTCCCAAATTTTTATAACATCGCCTTGTAAATACTGTGCTATTTTTGCATTTATTTAAATATTTAAAATTCTAAAATAGTAGTTTTTTTTAAATCGACGATTGCGTGCGTGTGGTGAGGTGGTCAAAATTTTTCCGAAAATTTGTGTGATTTTCCTTAGCCCGATCTTTCAATTATTTACTTTTATATGGTATATGGTCTATTTTTTTAATGGGAAATTTTGAAAAGTAGCAATTTTTAAGAGAGATGAGATGAACTTACAATTAATTTAAAAATACATAATTTGTATTTTAGATGTTTTAATAATATGAATTAGTTGAACTTATTATCATATATTTAAGTAATGTGGTTATTGAACTCAAATTTTGGGGTGAGAAAATTAAATTGAAAGTTTTACACATGTCAATTTAAAAAAAAGTTAACGATATTTGTATTTTGTTTATGCTAATTCTCTTACATGTAGTTTTTTGCGAAGAAATATTTCATTTATTTTTTAAAGTAAATGCCAGTAAAAGTAAATATTATTTTTAAATAGTAATATAAAGTAATAAAATGTGATATAAATAATTTTGATTTCTAATTTTTTATTTATATTTTCCTTCCATTACACTGCATGCTCAGAAAATTAATAAATGTTTATATTTCATTATTTTAAAATTTGTTGTAAATATAACAAATTAGTTCTGTAATTATTATTATTTAATAAACCAACGTTGCCAAAAAATTTAGAGACTATATTATTTGTAAATAGGATCTAATATAAATAATTTTGACTTCTAAATTGTTGTTTATATTTTGCTACTACTTAAAAAATAAATAAATGTTTATATTTCATGATTTTAAATTTTGTTGTTAATTGGTATATCAAATTATTACTTGTATTATTATTTATTAAACCAGTCTTTGCTTAAAAACATTAAAAATCATTTTCCTACATCCAAAATAAAAAGTATTATTGCAAAACCAAATTCGTAAACTAAACTTTGCTACAGACTCCAGTATAAATGTTACTATACCATAACCAAAAATAATAAACAATTAGACGATTTTTTACATAATTTTGTGTATATTTTGTTCATGAGGCGCAATACCGTGGATTATAAGCCGATAAATGGTAGACTTCTAGCTAGTCACTGTTTTATATATTTTTTACTATATTATAATTAATTAATAATATTAGACAATGATTAAAACTAAATATTCTTGTGTAACCTAAAGAGGAATAGCCAATTTAATCTACCATCGGTAACTGTTTTCATGTCAGTTTTTCTATGTTTACTTATTTTTCTGAAGCCACCACAACGTTTGACCTTGATTGCTTCGTGCTATTTTACAAAATAGTACGATAAAAACGTGTAATAAAAATTTGTTCCCACGTTTCCTGAAATAGATCGAGACGCGCTGTGATTGGTTGTTTGTTTTTTTACCCAGATTAACAATAAAAAACAAATAAAAGTTGAGAGATGGCACATGTTTTTTGAAACACCCTCTATTTTTACACGTATCTGTATTAGTAGTGGGAACTATCGAATGAATACTATCGAAACATTCGATAGTTGCAATTCATTCGAATAATTCGATAGCTAGTAAAAAAACATTCGTTGAAAACTATTCGAATAAAAATTATCGAATAGATGCGTCATCTGCCTTGAAATATTGTATTCTAGTAATTCGGCAGCAAAAACCATTCATTTATAAAATTCAGTCATTTATGAAATTCATTTATTCGTCAGGATCGATTATAATAAAATATTAACTGGATTTTAGTTGTCGCCCGGCGACGTAGGTTTCTTTCCGAGAGACCCGACAGCGGTCGGTGGCAATGCTATGAAAGAAGCCGGCATCTTTGATTTTTTGCGGAGTCATATAAAGATAAGGACACATTATTTTTTTTATTGAGGTGCTAGTATTTACACAGAAAATACATTATGAAGGGCGCTGTTGCCATATATTGGTATTAGCTGATATTAGCAAAGAATATTATTGTTTGGCTTTAGTTAGTTAGGGACAGTATGTCTATATATTTTGCATTTTTTTATTAATATTCTGTTGTTACACTGCAATAATACTTGTTATGTTGGATGTAGAAAAATTATTTTTAATGTTTTTAAGCAAAGACTGGTTTAATAAAAATAATAATAACAGTAATAATTTTTTATACCTATTAACAACAAAAATTAAAATAATTTAATATAAACATTTTTTTTACGTAGTACCATAATATAAACAACAAATTAGATGTCAAAATTGTTTATATTAGATCCTATTTAAAAATAATATAGTCTTTAAATTTTTTGGCAACGTTGGTTTATTAAATAATAATAATTACAGAATTAATTTGTTATATTAACAACAACCTTTAAAATCATGAAATATAAACATTTATTAATTTTCTAAGCATGCAGTGTAATGAAAGGAAAATATAAATAAAAAATTAGAAATCAAAATTATTTATATTAGGTACTTTATATTACTATTTAAAAATAATATTTACTTTTACTGGCATTTACTTTAAAAAATAAATGAAATATTTCTTCGCGAAAAACTACATGTAAGAGAATTAGCATAAACAAAATACAAACATCGTTAACTTTTTTTTAAATTGGCACGTGTAAAACTTTCAATTTAATTTTCACACCCCATAGTTTGAGTTCGATAACCCCATTTACTTAACCACATTACTTAAATATGATTATTAAGTTCAACTAATTCATATTATTAAAACATCTAAAATACAAGTATGTATTTTTAAAATTAATTCTAAGTTCATCTCATCTCTCTTAAAAATTGCTACTTCTCAAAATTTCCCATTAAAAAATAGACCATATATACCATATAATGATACGGAAAATCACACAAATTTTCGGAAAAATTTTGACACCTGCACACGCACACAATCGTCAATTAAAAAAACTACTATTTTAGTATTTTAAATATTTTAATAAACGCAAAAATAGCACAGTATTTATAAGGTGAAGTTATAAAAATTTGGAAGAACTAATAATGCACTGACGTACACAAAACTCAAACGAATACTAAATTTCATTTATCAAAAGCATTCGATAGTCGTGGCTCAACGATAACCATTTAGTTGCACGGCGAGGTTGTCACATATGCTTTAGTATACAAATGAATGAATGATTTTATTCGAATAAAACCATTCGATAGTTGAAATCATTCATTCAGTAACCATTCAATAGTCTAATTCATTCGATAGTTCCCATCGCTAATCTGTATATTTATATGTTTATATTCTTTGTTGATATACTCCTTCCTTAATTTTTTTATTCAAAGGCTTCTGCTCATTCAATTTCAATACAAATATTAAATACGCCTTTTTAAAATGATTTTTGTTTATTTTAAATAAATAACAACGTTTTTTTTGCCAATTACGCCACAAAATAAGGTTATTCCCGAAACCACTTTGTATAATGAGCATTCTAACAACTGGAACTAAAAAAATGGATATTCTTTTCCGTGCTTTATACTTTCGTTCGCCCAGGCTTCAAGAAGCTCGTTAAACATACATATTCATAATGACGAAAGATCCTGACCAAGGAGGCGAACATATTTTTCGAAACTAGGTTGAAGTGAAGGTCTTTGGCCTGGCCAATTTACCTCTCTCCGCGTGTCTAATAATAAGTCTAATAAGTACTTAATATTTTTCTCCTTATAAATTCTTAAGAAAGTATACAGGGTTGTTCACCACATACGAAACGGAGTATTGGAGCTAAACGTATGGCATTTTACAAATTATAAGTTTTGGGTTCGTTGAAAGACTATTAGAGCTACAATTTAAAAATATTTTTACAAGATACAGAGTGTCCCAAATAAATAAAAAATCTCAAAGTTGTATTTTTTAAATGGAACACCCTGCATAATATTACTTTTTTAGTTTCTACGATTAAAATAAAGGTAAATTTGATTAAGGTATATTACACTTAAACCTTACCGTTTTTGAAATATTTTCAATTTTGTGAAATTGCAGTAAACATTTTAAGGCTTCATTTCTCCAATGGTATCAAAGTTTTTAATACTAAATATTTACTGAAGTCTATTTATTGATCAGTTATTATGTTGCAGTAATAAAAATAATACTACCTCATACAGAGTGTCTAAAAATTTATTTTAAATAATTTCTATTTTTAAACGGCAATAACTTGTTTAATTTAAATAGAACGCCCTGTATATTTTAGGAGAATCAGATGCACAATTTAACTGTCTAACAAATTGTATTATACCACTTTTTACCTATCCCTTCAAGTTTTCGTAAAAAATGCATTTTCTTATAATTTAGACCTTATTTATCAATATACCCATGGAATATTGACATTTTAGATTATTTTTAAAGCAACAAATGTACAGGCTAGTAATATTATCGTTTTTAGCAAAACGATAATATTACTAGCGCATTTGCATGCAAAAAGAAAACTATTTAAATCTTTATAAAAGAGTATAGCATTAAGTAAATATACCACCATTATTTCCGCCCAAATAATAATTAATTACATACTTAATTGTTTTCGTTAATAAGTTATTCTAAATAAATGTGGATTTGAATCAGAAATCAAATGAATAATAATTTATGAAAATGAACGTCTCTGTTGTCATAAATAAGCATTTGTCAAAAAATGAAATATCATTTATAAGGTGTTACTTTTTACTTTTTACCACACTGTCTAATACACATACAAAATTCAGTTTTTTAGTATTTGGAGCAATTATTATCAATCAACGCAAACAGTCAATTAATGTAGTTTGGATACTGAAATCATATTAATTGGTCCTTTTTAACAAATATTTAAACAGTTTTTATTTACTTTTTAATGAAATAAACGAACTATATCGACAATATTAGTATCAGTACTCTTTAAAATTTTGGTATATCTTTAAAAATAATCTAAAATGTCGGTATTCCATGGGTATATTAATAAATGAGTTCTAAATTACAAGAAAATGCATTTTCCACGGAAACTTGAAGAGATAGGTAAAAAATGGTATAATACAATTTGATAGACAATTAAATTGTGCATCTGGTTCTCATAAAATATACAGAGGGTTCTATTTAAATTAAACAAGTTATTACCGTTTAAAGCTAGTAATTATTTAAAATAAATTTTTAGACACTCTGTTTAAGGTAGTATAATTTTTATTATTGCAACACAATAACTGATCAATAAATAAACTTCAGTAAATATTTAGTATTAAAAAATTTGATACCCTTGGAGAAATAAAGCCTTAAAATTTTTACTGCAATTCCACAAAATTGACAATATTCTAAAAACGGTAAGGTTTAAGTGTAGTAAACCTTAATCGAATATACCTTTATTTTAATAGTAGAAACTAAAAATGTAATAATATACAGGGTGTTCCATTTAAACAAATACATCTTTGATATTTTTTACTTATTTGGTTAGGTTGGACACTCTCTATCTCGCAAAAATATTTTTGAATTGTAGCTCTAATAGTCCTTCAACGAACCCAAAACTTACAATTTCTAAACATCTTATCGTTTAGCTACAATACTCCGTGTCGTATGTGGTAAACAACCCTGTATAGGGCCGGTGGCGCCTCTCGTACGACGCAGAGGCTGCAAGGAGAACTACAGCTTGTATTGAAATGAAATTTTGTGAGCATATGTAGGTTGATTTAGAGCATTTTTTAAAATATAGAAAGTTCTACAGGGTGTCCCCCCCAAAAAATTACAGATCAAAGTTGTGTTTTTTGTAATGGAACACCCTATATATTAATTGATTTTCGGATTCTAGGAGAAAAATAAAGGTAAGTTTCATTATAGAAGTATATAACTAAAATGTAAGGTTTTTGGCATATTTAATCATTTCTAAAAATGAAGAAAACATTTAAAATTTCAATAAATCTCTACCTAAATGATAATTTATCCAGTTTAGCGTATTATGTAACTATTGTACTTTAAATCAAAATAAAATGTGACCCAAAAAGTTGTACAGCGTGAGACAAAATTAATATTGAACACTTATTGTCACATTTAAAAGCAAGTTCTCTTTTATTTTAAATAGAACATCCGGTAGAATATTTCCAATACTCAATGGAGAATTCATATATCTTCAAAATACTATTAAGGTTGCCTACCCTTTAAACAACGATTTTCCTAGATATTTTCATTATTATATTTTGCGTCTTCTTTTTTAATTAGTAATCAAGTTGCATACTGCATTCACCAACTAATGGAATCATATCAATTCTTTCTGATGTAGGATAAGTTTGCATTTTCAGCAAATTTCTAAGAATTTTTATCTGTTTTAACTGACTTTTTTTGGAGACTACATTAAGTCTAAGATTTTATTTAATTGCTAATTCATGTATTCGGCTCCGAGGACATTAACATATTGATTTTCATCATCTTCTTTCTGATAATTTTTCGGACGCGGTTTTTGAAAAGATCCAAAATTGATTAAACTATCTTCTAACCTTTTAAAAATGGCTGGGTTTGGTTTGGTTTGGATATTATATTTCTCAAAATTTTCAAATTTACTCATTTTTTATTATTTAAAATACACACACTTCAATCTGTTGAAATGAAATGTCACGCATCCATCAAAGGTATGTCCCGATCACCATGACAACCGTTTATTTTGTTACCCGACGCGGCCTTCTATCTAATTAATGGATATTTTAAGAAAAATTTGTAATGTTGAGGTTAATAGTGAAAATAAATATAGAGTGTGATATATTTTCGAGAAGCTTATGCCAATCTGAATAAGAAAATTTAAAAATATACAGGAGGTTCTATTTAAAAAAAACATAAATATAGTTAATATCTCAAAAAACAATTTTTTAGAAAAAAAGTCTGACTACGCCACTGCATTCTACTTCAAAAAGTACAAAATTTGAGAATCCCCCTGTAGCTTCGAAACCGATCAAGATAGCCACGATCCGTTTGCGCCATTGTAATTTTTTCAAAAAAAGAACCCGAGACTGCAGTATCAAAATTTCAGTATTTCTCACGGTTTCCTAGATACCCTATAGAAACAACCAAAATGGTCCACCCTCTACATATATAAATCTACTTACCGACATGGTCAACTCCTGCGATCTTCCGGATGTGATTGATGTGGCGTATGACGTCGGCCATGGTGGCGTTGACGCTGCAGGCCACGTGATACGAGTAGAAATCGACCATGACCAGGCCGCCATTTTGCGCGACCAGTTTGAGCAGGTCGTCGGGCACGTTCCTGGTACTGTTGCAGAGGGAGTACGCTGCGGAGTGGCTGTAGATGACGGGTGCTGATGAAACGTTGATGGCCGACCTCGCCGTGTACACCGATGAATGGGATAAGTCCACTGGAAAAAAAGATACAGGCTGGGAATGATTGAAGTGCATTATATTGGTAAACCCTGTATATTAATATCTCGTTTTGTATTCCAAGTGTATACCAACGTATTTCTTTGCAAAATAAAATAATCTACTTTGAAATTAAAATGGCAGGCACATCTATCACTGTCAGGGATTTTGTCGTTGGGCAGACTATAGCTATTTATGATATAAAATCTATTGAATAATTAAAATTAATATTAAAGATATTTTCAATAGAATTGTCTTGATTTATAACTCGTACCCACTTTTCTTGGTCTTCCGGACACTTTAGGCTGCCTAGTATAACTGTCCTTTCCACCAGGAACACAACAAAGATAAGGCATAGCACCAAAAACACACTCCACTTAAGCTTTATTGATGAATTGTTAGAGTCTTAAAAAACACACACAAAAATCATGATAAATAAAAAACTTATGGGCACTTTTAGGTTAAAGTACTTAACAAAACGTGTAATATTTCGTGTTTTTTATAAGAAACAGAGTGACCATATATCTGGTAGTAGTTTATATCACTTAAGCATCAAAATAATTAGTTTTTTGCACTACAATAACAATAATACCAAAAATCAACCGATAAAATATGGATACAGAAACAGAATCTAACCCAATATCTAAGTATGTACAGCTGATGAAGTAAACAAAAGTCCGCCCGTAGGCTGATCTTTTATAGAAGGCATTGACTCATGTCTTCAATTATGACGGACTGTCCTTTATTTAGACGCGATGTCCGTTGTGGAGATTTGACCGTCATTCAACAATGCCCGCCCAACAAGTCTGCCAATTGAATTTAATCAATTCAAAATTATGCTACCTAACGCCCTTCAGTACTTTGACTTCAAAGGGTTTATATTTTACAGCTGATTCGGCAGAAGTTATATTTTGCCTTTGTTAAAGAAAATCTAATTTTCTTTAGTACTCTAACTGATAATTGGTAAAGGCCCAGGATCCTAATTGATTTTGTCTAGAGATAATGAAATTAATATTTGATACCGAAACACTTATTCAGGATTGTTTTTAAAAAAAGAAACACGATTTGAAATCTAATACCACCATCTTGTAATACCAAAAAAAGTAGTAAGAAGAATGCGAAATATGTTTTATTATATCTTTTCAAAATAAGTTATAACAATTAAGACTCTTTGATATATCTTTTACTATGCTCTCTGGAATAGCATGCGGCCCGTCTGGCTGCCGATACCCGTTGCGTTTACTACTGCGCATCGGAAGAAGATCCTATATTTTTTTTTAATTTAGTCCTATAAATTCTAGTATTGAATATAAATCGAACATGTCTCCATAGCACAGTGCGTAGAGTTTCCGACCACGAACCGATGATTCAGAGTTCGAATCCGGGTCAGGTCAAAGACTTTTTTATTTTATTTTCGTTTATATTCTGATAGTAAAGTATTAAATAATTCTGGTAATTAAAAAAACAAATATTTAATACTTTACTATCAGAGTATAAACGAAAATAAAATAAAAAAGTCTTTGACCTGACCCGGATTCGAACTCTGAATCATCGGTTCGTGGTCGGAAACTCTACGCACTGCGCTATGGAGACATATTCGATTTATATTCAATACTAGAATTTAAGGGACTAATAAAAATAGAGGATCTTCTTTCAATGCGCAGTAGGAAACGCAACGTTTACCGGCAGCCAGACGGGCCGCATGCTGTACTAGAGAGTAGTGATGGGTTGTTATTTAACTATCTGTTATTTTATAACAATTATTTATAAATAACATAACGCAACCGTTACTACTTCTAAAACATAACAGATATAAAATAACGACAGGTAGAGATCGGCCGCTCGTAAAACGAAGTGGGAAAGGAACGAAGTGGGAAAGGAACGCTGCTGCATCGGTCGATTGTCGATGGAGGTTCGAAACAGTTTGGAGAATAACGCATCAGTTATTTTAGATAGTACATTGTTTTTCAACCTGTTACGAGCATAACGGGCGGAGGTCGAGATATTATGGCGCTGTATGTTTCAGTACTTACTTATTAAGTTTCAATATTTAGGTATTTATTTATTCTGAAAAAATTTCAGAATAATATTTTAAGATTTTTAAAAATGTATACAGGGTGTTTTGAAAAATCTGGTGATTGATTAATCACGATCCTGCTTAAAGCCCTTGACGTAAAAAGCTGATTTTTGGAAAACGGATTGACTTTAGGGTGTAGAGGTTCGATAAGAAGGGATTTTTCGAAACTCGAATTCTAAGGGGTGAAACTACCCTCATATATTAGAATATTTTTATTTAAAAACCGGTGAGTTTTTCGGAAAAACTCTTAAAACACGTATATTTTATTATGTTGTTTTACATATATTCAGATTTTTAAAAAATATATACAGGGTGTTTCATAAAATATGACCATTGAGTAATCACTATTCTGCTTAAACTGCTTGACGTTTAAAGCTGATTTTTGGCAAACGGATTGACTGTGGGGTTGAGGTTCGATAAGGAGGGCTTTCTCGAATCTCAAATTCCAACAGGGTGAAAACGCCCCTCAAATATTACAATATTTGTTATTTAAAAAACGGTTAGTCTTTCGGGAAAACGCCTGGACACGCATAATTTATTTTGTTTTTTACATATGTTGACATTTTTTCAAAAATCATACAGGGTGTTCCAAAAAGCTGAGTAATTGATTAACCACGATTCTGTTTAAACTGCTCGACGTTTAAAGCTTATTTTTGGCACATATGAGAAAATTTTATCCAGTCTGTATTTTAATGGAAATTCTTGTTTTGCTTTATCATCACCATTAGAAATTATTAATTCGACACGAACGAAGTCGCGGGTACACGCTAGTTTAAGTGTACTTCTAATTCGAACTCTAGTGTGTAGTTGGTTTACTTATGAAGAATATACTACACATTTTCTTATATTGCTATTTTTTGACCGCAAATGGTAAAATCATAACTAAGAGCTTCTCGCCCGTCGAGTAAGATGCACCCTGTACACTGCTACTCAATTCAGGATCTACGCGGATCGAGGGGCAGGGCGTAGGTAGATCGGAATGTATAGGTATAGACGAGTGGCGGAATTTTGGCTTTTTTTATATCGCAATTTGTAAACAGCGCTTATTTGTAAACAACCACCGTTTTTAGAGAGGTATTTTAGATAACAATCGATATTTAGAAATGTTTTGACACCCTGGAAATATTCCACCGAGCACGTCATTGTTGCAACTTGCAACTGCGTTAATACGCCTGGCGGTGACCGCCTCATACTTTCAGATATTTAGCAGTAAAATAAAGAAACCTGTTATTTTTAAGCTGTTATTTTAAGCTGTTTTTTATAAATAACTATAACAGTTTCAACTGTTATCTAAAAATAACAGTTTTGCCCATCACTACTAGAGAGCATAGTAAAAGATATATCAAAGAGCCAAACGTCTTAAAATACTTGTTTTTTCGACGTTGCTAGCTCTCGTACTAATAGGACAGTAGCGTGCTGTAGCGCTGGTATATTGCAAAAAAACAGTTTGTGTATGAAATGTATCTTACCTATCATTCCCAAGCGGTTCATTTCACGCACTACAACCTTTCCAAAATCGCTCAGTCCGTCACTGGTCACAGTGTCCTGTCCTGTAGCCCAGGAAGTGTCACAGGTGTGGGTTATGGTCAGGTACCTTGCTCCCAGGTTGTAGAACGATCTTAGTACCGCTAGGCTATTTCCTAGCGCATGCCCACCTAAAAGACATTACATTTTCGTCTGAGAATACAATATATTTCTATACTATAAATTTATAGTTTATAAATACAGGGTGGTCCGAACTGTATTCCGGAAACTTCGGCAGCATATTCTGCAGATAAAAACAAGTAAAAAAGTTCGTATAAATTTATGTCCTAAAATGCTTTCTTTCGGAGATACAGGGTGTAAAAGTTTCATTTTTATTTCGATTTTTTCTAAATAATTTATAAAGTAACGTCAATATTTGGATGAAAATTGGTGTCTGGGAGTTTTTTGACATGAGAAATTTGATTGTGATATCAATATGACTCCTACTTGTAGAGGGCGCCATCTACGTATTTTTTAACTGGTTTGAAGAGTAATAACTTTTCGTCCGTACCTGTATAAAACTACTGAGTAAAAAAATATACATTTACGATATTTATTACGTAAAAATGGTCTCTCGGTAAAAATCGCTACGAGTAATGGTTCTCGAGATATTTGAAATCGAAATTATCAATACCTATCATCATTGACATAAATTAAACATATACAGACCGGACCACCGTAGTAGTAACATAGGCAGAACCGGACGAATTAGCGTATACCCGTCCGACGGATAAAAAGCAGGCGAAAAAATGCGATAAAATAAAAATAGGTAGATATGTGATAAGAATGTTTCAGAATTTGTATTTATTTGTGTTTTAATAGCCAAAACGAATACATAGATTCTCGCGACAGTTCTCGTGTAAAATTTATTTTTTAAGTAAAATAATGGATGTTTACGAAGTTCGTGAGAAAATTCAAATTGTAAAATAGTATTTCCAAAATAGGTCTTATCGAGATATAAAACAATTTTTCCACAAACTTTTGTAAACAGGCCAATTCCATCATTACATACCTACTATATCAAGAGTTAATAATTTTGAAACACATGGGTGCGTGTCCCCAAAAAAAACACCAAAAGGCTAATGTGTTGATTTATGAAGAACAGGAGTTAAAGCAAGTGTTCATTTGTGCTACGGCGGATCAAAATCCCACGTTTTCAAGTAATCAAATTGCTGAGGTGGTTGCCCTGCCCACAATGCCCGTATTGTTCAAGAATATTTGAACAATACTTTTCCCAACCGTTTAATTAGTGGACATGGATCTATTTTCTGCCCCGCTAGATCACCAGATCTTTCTCCCAATGATTTCTTTTTGTGGGGTTATGTAAAATTCAAAGTGTATGGTCATAAAAGGGCTAATAATCTGGATGAGCTTCAAGTAAAAATACGAGAGGCTTTCCAAACTATTAGCCCTAATATGTAAGCCAATCAGACGGGGATTTTACGACCGCCTAGGCTTCTGTCTAGCACAAGAAGATGGTCTTTTTGAACACTTGTTATAACTTTTTTTTATTTAGAGTAATATTTTAGTTTTTTTTTGGGGGGTTTAGAGAATTTATTTATTTTTAGTTTTGGCTTGTGTGTTTACTCAAATAATAAATATTTAAGTATTTTTATTTTAAATGTTACCTTAAGTGTAGGGAAACACTTAAAATGAAAATAATAAATACTCGGCACTCCTCGCGTCGTATTCCTAGTCTGTCACGACCATAGACTTAAAATAAAATATAGACTACACTATTTACATCTCAACGCGGACAAACAACCTTTTTTGTACACATGTTTACTTCTGGGTACAGTCGACCGAGCCTTCCTCATCCAGCCTATGTTGTCACGTCTTTAATATTATCAATATTTTTTTTCTTGTTATACACATATATTGAGATATTAATACTACAGTTTAATAAAAGTAGGTTTAAATATTCCATAGATGTATTAAATAGTCCTTATACTACTAAATTATAAGTCGGATACTGTTTAATAAGGATAAGTTCTTTACAATATGACAACACCGATTAGAGGCGAGGGAGCCTATTCATTCATTTATTACCTTGTAGTACGTGTCGCACGTATTGCGGTAAAGCTTTGTTGCCGCTATCTCCCCGGCTGTATTAACGCATTTTCTTAGCTTGTAGTCCTTAAGTGTTTATTTTATTGACTTTTTTCTGTTCAAGAACTATCAAATATGGTTCGCCAGTGCCAAATTTACAAGAAATTTGACTTAAATAATGCATTTAAGTCTTGAAACGACTTTCGACCGGTAGGCAACTCTCAATTTACCCATTAGGAGTCAGTGGCGTTGTTGTAGAAAGGCGATTATTTAGATAATCTTTTAGTAAAATGTAAAATCTGAATTTTTTCTCTTACATTATTTACTTACTTACATTGTAACAAAATCATAATTATAACCCTGTTAATAATTAATAATGTTTTTATTAAAAATATATTCCGGTTTATTCTAAAATTATCTTCAGAATCTAAAATAACATACAAGAATTTTAAAATGATATTACATTATGAAACAATACTTTTTAATATACCGGGTCGTCTCAAAAGTGGCTCACCCCTATAACGCGTCAGGAATGGCTATGAAATGAAGAACGCTGTCATTTCATGTAAATTTATATGGGAAATGTCGTCGATCGTCATTTACTGTCCAAGTAGACGCGGTTTTTTTCGATCATACGGTATTTGTAGTCATTTTATTATTATAATAAATATAATAATATATTTTATGGTATTTTTCTAGAAATAATAATAAATATAATAACCGGGGGAGGGGGGGGGGCGTCTCAAAAGTGGCTCACCCCTATAACGCGTCAGGAATGGCTATGAAATGAAGAACGCTGTCATTTCATGTAAATTTATATGGGAAATGTCGTCGATCGTCATTTACTGTCCAAGTAGACGCGGTTTTTTTCGATCATACGGTATTTGTAGTCATTTTATTATTATAATAAATATAATAATATATTTTATGGTATTTTTCTAGAAATAATAATAAATATAATAACCGGGGGAGGGGGGGGGCGTCTCAAAAGTGGCTCACCCCTATAACTTTTTTATTTTTTCAGATAAAAAAAAACAGATTTGTATGTTAGTAGGTATATGGCATAAATTAGGATTTATTGACGTATTCAATTGTTTTTGGTCTCTTCCTGTTTCACCGAAATGATTATATCTTTTGATTTTTAAAGGCACCCTCCGTATATTGCTACTTTATTCGATAAAAAATGACACTCTGAATAGAATGACATATCATATGACAACTTTTGACATTGTCGCTTAAAAACAAATCGTATTTTAAATTTCAATCCAGGGTGCCACGGTGTTGTTAAAAACACTAAATTTTAATCAAGGGGCCTTGGAAAAATAGTTTTGATCGTCTAATAGGTTTCGTGTCTTGTCTAGGCCGGTTAAAAAGATGTACAAATCGTATTTTTAATCATACATATGTCAATTTTTCAAATGGAACAAGGGTGACTCATTAGCATATTTGGAAAAAGCATTTTTTTATGAATATATTGATACCACACACTTGGTATTTCGAGTCAAATTGTCGTTATGAACCGCGTGTTACAATTACAATTAAACCATATGCGAAAATGTCAAAAGTTGACATATGATATTTCATTCTATTCAGAGTGTCATTTTCTATCGAATAAAGTAGAAATATACCGAGGGTGCCGTTTAAAAATTAAAAGTTATAGTCATTTCCGGTGACACAGGAAGTGACCAAAAACAATTGAATGCGTCAATCAATCCTAATTTATTTCATATACTAACATACTAAATCTTGTTTTTTTATTTGAAAATATAAAAAAATTATGGGGATGAGCCACTTTTGAGCCGCACCCGGTATAATAAAGACAGTACCGAGTTAAATAAATGTAGTTTTTATTTTATCCACTTCCTATCACCTTCCTTGCTTTAATGGAACAGATTTATGTTTTCTCTAATTTACATAATAAGACATCACTTAACTAGAAAAAAAATTACAACAATCATTTTTTTTTCTCTCCCTGTCGCCGATTCTATTATATCTGTGGAATAGATCCGGTTTTGATTAATATTAGGGGTTGTAAATGTTTGACTAAAATTAATAATTTATTATTAATTTCAAAAATTACGTAATTTCGATTATAAAATTTCTTCTATAACGTGTATTTTATTATGTTTATCCTTTTCGGACTCTAAGACGTTTTTTCTAAACTTTTATGTAAAAAACCTGTCCTAAATCTTAATAAAATATAAAAACGTTTAAATACGATATATTTTTAATTTACTTATAGCTTCATTAAAATAAAAAAATTACCCGGCTATGATACGGAGAGTTCAGGTGTACTTGAGAAACGAAAGACAGTGTTTGTTTCTCGGCAGAGTCGTCAGGGAACGACCGTTACGACAGAGACAACCTATCTATCGCTCGTGTCGCACTCGTTATAACCTAAAACAATAACACAACAATAACAAGACAGTGTCTGACCGCATGTTCCAGCTATTTATGAATGAGATGCTCAGTCTATATTTTATTTTAAGTCTATGGTCACGACCGATCCATCCAAGCACAACTGCAACTGCGTACTGCCTGACCAGCCGACGAGCCGGCAGTGAATCTCGAGTACGAACGCAAATCGGGTAAACGTAAATTCGTCCGGCAACTTGCTATGTTACTAGTAGCCTGGTCTTCTCTGTATAGTTATTATATAGACTGAAATCATAAATTTGAATGTTTTTGTGTAAAAAGTTCAACAAAAATTGTGTTATCATCATATTTTCGCAGAATTGAAAATTTTCACTAATTTATTTATTTCAACCAAACAACTATCTACTTAACGTGTGTTAATTTTTTGTCAATAATGATATGTATTGACTAATTCCATTCTAAATATCTCGAGAACGGTTGCTCGTAGCGATTTGTACCAAGATGTTTTTTACATGAAAAGTCACGGAAATGTATCTTTTTTCACTCGGTTGTTTTATACAGGTACGGACGAAAAGTTATTACTCTTCAAAACAGTAAAAATACATGTAGGTGGCGCCCCCTACAAATGGGAGTTATATTGACATCAAAATCAAATTTATCATATCAAAAAACTCCCATTACTCCCATTACACCAATTTTGATCCAAATATTGGCGTTACTTCATAAATTATTTGGAAAAAATCGAAATAAAAAAGGAAACTTCCACACTCTGTATGTCCGAAACTAAGCATTTTAGGACATACATTTATACGAACTTTTTTACTTAATTTTAACTACGCGCCCTGTATAGAGTGTATCCGCGTAAAAAAATGCTGTTCGACACAAATCCGCTACCACTACTTATAATCACTATTACTTTCTAACCTCCCCATATAGATTAGAATTTTTTGTGCACGCTGTTTTACCCGTTCCTACCTTCTACGCCGATGAGCGAGGCTATCTTGCCGTCGCGATGCGCGCTCCTGATCTCCTCCGCGCTCCTGACCATGCGCATGTAGTCCTTCTCGCGCTCCACCAGCCGCTCCACCGCGTCGATCTGTTCCAGCGTGATCTGCACTGCGTCGCGGTGCTGCGCTTTGCAAGGCACGTAGGCGGACCAGAACTGGCCGCCCAATCCTCCCTCCACCAACCTGGAACAACAGTTATGAGAGGATTTTGTGGTGTTGGTATATCTACGTAAGTTTATTGTGTAATCTACGATTATATCCCTAGATTTTAAGTATGTGCTAGACCTAGATCATATACCGGGTGTTGCATCGTCGGACGGGACATAGGAAATCCCATGTAAATTTTAATGGGTCAATTATTGGCTTCCCTAATTATTTTAGAGAATAATTAGATTTAGGTTTATTGAAGAGCACTAAAGCTCACATTCAAAAGAATAACTTTAGATATTTTTGATTAGCTCGTTTACGAGTTGTCGCCGATTTCTTTCTAAATATTTCTCCTTTCTTATGGCACTGTATTTAGCAAAATAAAAACACTAAATCACCACAATACACCAAAACACTTTTACTTTTACACTGGACGCGCGTCCGATGATGCTAACCATGTTAGCATCATCAGCAGATGATGATAAACTCCTGTATTTGCTTATAAGCCCCAGTCAAGGTAAAAGATAACTGTCAAATGAAGTTGTCATTTCATAAATTTACCTATTTAGTGCATTATTATTATTGAAAACTCATTCCTACATCGGAAATCTTAAAGATGTATTTATAAATAAAAATTAATATGAGTTAAAGTAAAATAAAGTAATCAATTACAAGGTTAATTATAGTATTATTACAATATTCAATAACTTATTAATTTAGGTACTATTAAATTGTTAGAACTTTAGGATTTAAGAAGATGTTCAAATATTCCTCCATCGACTGCTAGACAATAACCCAGGCGATCATAAAATTCTCTTCTTACCATCGCTAGTTGGTAAACTGAAATTCTATTGCATTCGGCAGAAATATCATTTTTAACTCGTCTAGAGTTGGGTATTTTTTCTTGTATACCCTGTTTTTTAAATGGCCCCAGAGAAAGAAATCATTTGGCGAAATATCAGGAGACCTTGCTGGTCAATTTACTGTATGATTTAGGCCAATAACGTTTCCGTTAAAACTATTGTCTAAATATTCCCGAACAGCCAGGGTACTATGTGCCGGGCAGCCATCCATTTGGTACCAAACTTCCTGATTTTCCTTAGCGGCATCATGTAAAGCACAACCAAATAATATTCTGCATTTAAATTTCGCGTAAGAAATAATGGCCCGATAAAATTGTGTCCGAATATCCCTGCCCAAACATTTACTTTCTGTGGATATTGCGTCCTTGTTTCGACAAACCTGTGTTAATTTACTTTGTTTCAATATCGATAATTTTGAACATTGGGTTCATTACTTAAGGTAAACGTGCATTCTTCAGTGAAACATATGTTTTTTAAAAATTCCCTATCCGTGTTTGCTCTTTTCATCATATCAAAACAAAACGCCTGCCGCCGTATTTCGTCCCCATCTCGTAGCTCTTGGTGCTTTTCATATTTGAAGGAATAGTATTTATGTCGTTTCAAAATTCGAAACGCTGTAGTGTGATCTATTCCTATTTCATCCTCAAGTTTCCTTGTGCTGATCTTTCCATCGTTCTATTCCACGCTCAATAAAACTTCCAAGTCGGTATCATTTCTTGCATCTTCTCTTTGTTCCTGCCTTGCTTCACATCTGCAGTTATTTATTAGGGTACCTTTGGTCTCAAATCTCTGGATATTCCTTGCGATTGTAGATTTTCCAGGTATCGGTCTATTCGGATACAGAGCAGCAAACATGTCCAACACCTTTTGATAACTATTTCCTTGATAATATCATTTAATCATCAATACTTTTTCTTCGGTAGTGTAATTCATGGCTAATATTTTCGATGTAGGTATGAGTTTTTAATAATAATAAAAAAGCACTAAATAGATAAATTTCTGAAATGACAACTTCATTTGACAGTTATCTTTTACCTTGACTGGTGCTGATAAGTAAATACAGGGCCATAAGAAAGGAGAAATATTTAAAAAGAAATCGGCGATAACTCGTAAACGAGCTAATCAAAAATATATAAGGTTATTCTTTTGAATGTGGGTTTTAGTGCTCTCCAATAAATCTAAATAGAATTATTCTCTAAAATAATTAGGGAAGCCAATAATTGACCCCATTAAAATTTACATGGGATTTCCTATGTCCCGTCCGAAGATGCAACACCCGGTATATGATCTAGGGTGATAGAAGGAACATTTTCTTACTTTGGTAGGTCAGTATGCGACCATTTGCTGGTTGACCACGGGTCTTCATCACTGATTCTGCTCAGGTTGAGGTCGTTGAGCTTGTTGTGGAGGAATTTCCGCAAGTTCCAGGGGAGGTCGTTGTGACCGTCGATCAGGGGAGAATTTTTCAGTAATCTCCTTACCTGGAAAATATTTATTTACAGGGTATTGCTTGTTCTGGTCTGGTGGTTTTCTTTGTTAACAAGATATTTTTAACGCGTTCAACCCTGACTAATAAAATATCATCACAGAAGAACGATTTCTTCAAGCTTTCCCACGAAGAAAAAATTGATTATGTTACTACAAAGCGTGCTTACAGAGTGTACGTTAATATCAAAAGAATATTCCGGCTTTATAGAATTACATACATATGTATAGTTCATATCAAATCAACTTTTAGTCACGTGAATAAGCTTGACCTGTACAGCGTTGCCCACTTTTACATATTTTCTTTTAATCAAAATATTTTAGAAAACAAAAATAAATTAATTATAAATATACAAACAGTTATTATTTACATCAACAAAACTCACCTCCTGAACAGCACTTACGGGACATAAACTTTCCCGTTCAAAATCTATACTAATATATAAAATCCTTAAGTGACTGATTCACTGATTGAACCACTCAACGTACGAAGCTCAATTTTGCCATACAGGTTGATTCTAGGGTGTAGAGGTTCGATAAGAAGGGATTTTTCGAAATTTCAGTTCCAAGGGAGTGAAACCACCCCTCAAATATTACAATATTTTTTATTTCGATCATTACTGTCAAGTTTCCGAAAAAACGCTTAAACACGTATATTTTATTTTGTTGTTTTGAGTAATCAAAACAAGTTTGAGTAATCACGATTCTGCTTAAACTACTTGACGTTTAAAGCTGATTTTTGGCAAACTGATTGACTGTGAGGTGTAGAGGTTCGATAAGGAGGGGTTTCTCAAATCTCAAATTCCAAGAGGGTGATAAAGCCCCTCAAATATTACAATATTTGTTATTAAAAAAACGGTTAGTCTTTCGGGAAAACGCTTGGACACGCATAATTTATTGTTTTTTTCGCGTGCTCTAGAGTAAGTTCGCGTAATAACTTGGCTATTTTACAGCCAGAAAATGCAACAAAAAACGTGGTTTACAAAGAGGTACCGTGAAATGGGGTGACTTTGCCTCTTGGGGTGACTTTGCCAAATTCCGTCCGAAAATATGTGAGACGTAGCCGTAGCCACTACTTGAAAAGAACGCGTTATGTGTCATCGGTAAATTATAGGTGGAGGCGCCCCACGTCTCGGAACGTCGCTAAACGCTTGCCGTCAGTTGCGATGTAGCATTTACAGTGCTGTGAAGCCAAATCTGTTTTTAAAGCCTATTTTGTGCGTTTCAAACTTCTACGTGGCTGCAATAGTTAACCACGCTATATTGAGGTAGGTATTATGCAGAAGTTCGTTATAATATTGAGGGAAGCATATTTTACGTAATTATGCTTTTAAACGGGGTGGCTTTGGTCTATCAATAAGAATAAGGAAGAGGGCAAAGACACCCCATATAAGCAACTAACTTTGCTCATCCAGTTTTTTACTTTTTTTATATATATATTTGTTTAATAAACAAAAAAGCGTATTATTGTTGTGTTGTCCTTATTACCACTTATAGCATAGACCATGCGCATTTGAGAAAATACAACAATTTTTGAAATAAACACGATTTAAAATTCAGAATTGGGCAAAGTCACCCCACTTCACGGTACTTAAATAAGGCTCTCTATTTAAGTACCTTTTTATATCTCTTTAGTTATCGCAGTACTTTTTTTCAAATCTACCCCTAAGGAGGTGAAATGGGGTGAAAATGATTTTTATCTTTCATATTTAGTAACTACCAAAATATAATAATATCGCCATAATGTTTTTTCTCATGCTGACATAAATGTGAGAAAATGTTATCCAGTTTATATGTTAATGGAAATTCTTGCTTTGCTTTATCATCATCATTACAAATGAATTGTTTTAATTGTATGAAATATGTCTAAGCTATTTAATAATGCTCAATTCTGTTAGACAGTTGCTTGAAAACTTGGAATAAAATATCTGCAGTCACCCTTTACAAATACCATAGAAATAAATTTTATACAGCTGTCTATTTTGACTTTAGTTACTAAGCTGACATCTATAACTATTATTATTATTTTGTAGCTTTTCCCCAGCGATACAACGTATTTCTGATACCGCGACGTATTAAGAATCTATTACAGCTGTAGGAAAATGAGTAACTAATTGTGAAAATTAAAGATCCAACCCTAGATGCAACATTTGCTGTATAAGTCTACTTGGGCGGTTTAAAATTTTACTGCAAAATCTGGCAATATATCATAGAAAAAATGTATCAACCCAACTTTTTTTCTTTTAAATACATTTTATTTTTCATTAAGCTGACTCATCGCTGTCTTATACCTACGTTAAAATCCAGACCTCGCTTCTGCGGTGACCTATCTGTATATCCTAAAGATTTACCTGTTGAAGACGGTCTTCAGTAGAGGGGTTTTCACTTCGATGGGATCCTAAGGCTAAGGGCAGTCCTAAACCGGCAGTGAGGGTTGCTACCACTACGCAGACCACGAGACAGACGCACCAAGGGCCCCGTAGATTGGTTCTGCAAGAAAGAACACCTTATAGATAAAGTAAAAACTAATGAAGCATAGCATAATTGAATAAAGCAATTAATTCTGGAATTTTCTGCTATCTCACTTTCGAAAAATTTGAAGTCGTTCTTAAGAAAATAAATAAAACAAAAAATCCCGGAATAAAAATCCGCACTTGGCATGTAGAAAAGCGGCAACACGGCGGCGGCCGGGCAACCAGGCTGACCCACCACCACCTCCACACAAGGCTATTCAACCTTTTCCAATATGGCGGAGATAGAAGTGCTTTATTTAGCGCGTATTTTAAAACCTGTTTTATTTCCAAATAGCCATTTTTCACACAAATGTCGGGTTAGATTACGTAATATTTCACTAATTTTTTAATATACAGGGAGTCTAAAGTTCTCCACATAAGTATGGAATTTTGTATTATTACTTTTATGAAAACATCAGTTAGTTACTTTTTATAAAAAGGTCTGCTTTCTCAGAAAATAGGTAGTGATAAAATATTCAAACTTGAGGTAGCATATATAGGGTGTTCAAAATCATCGGAAAAAGAAATAACCAGAAATATATGACAGAAAATAGCAATATAAACTAAATATTCAATTGCAAACACTTACCTACCATAGTTTAGAATTTACTGAACGTTTGATAAATATATACTACTATGGACAGTATAGGAAGTTACTTGTCTTTGTAAAAGCCTTGGTAAATGCTCTTGGAATTATAAACTACACTGGCTTTGGTCAAAAAATATGGAATATTTTTTTCTATGTTTTGCAGCATTACACAAATGGGAATAAATTTAAACTATAATAGGTGAGGATAAATAAAAAATATATTATGTGTTTCAAGATTTTATATAGAAAAAAAAACTAAATACCTTTTTGGGGGTTCGTAAGTAAAACTTACGCTTAGCTTAGTTTTCTTTACTGTTTCTCTTTACATAGGGCATTGTCTTTGTGGTAAAGACGCCATTCCTTTTTTTGCATAGTTCTTCAATAAAATATTGGATATTCTGAACAAGATGCATTTAATAATAAATTCTGACGTATGTGAGGGGCAATTGTGACCTAAAAAAAGACTTACATCCAGGCCATTTATATTTTCAAATGTCAATGTCAATTTCTGTGATCTTTTTGATGTAAAAAGCTTGATTCTTCTTCCAATATTTTACTTATAGTGAGGTAAGTGTAAGCAGTAGCCATAACTACATCCTTACTAGGGTAACAGAGGCTTTAGCCTTTGGCCTTTTTGAGGCATATTTAATGCACTTCTTACCCGAGAACTACGAGTAGGAGTGAAATTATCTCTTTTAATAGCTGTCAACTATTTTTTACGAAGCTCGTCATTTTTGGGGAATATAAAAGCAGAAACATTGGGACCCCCTCTATTCCCGTGACAATTTGGAACAGAGCATGTAAAAGGCATGCTACAATAAAATGTTAATACCTACCCTTTAATACCTATCTTTTGATTATTGTAAGTAACCATTATAAAGTGCTATGCAGACTGGCGGCGAAGGCTTTTTACTCATTTAGGTGTAATATCTTGATAAATACTTCTAGTTCTTACCTTAAAATAATTAATAATAGAGGAGTACGACAAGCACAAAAGTTTGACGTTCCCTATGTGGAATGTCTTGTTTGGATTTTTATTACACTGTTATTTTATCACAATTTTCTGATCACACCATGCACTGAACACTAAGAACTAAACAAACGTGTTGCAGAAGCACAACAAACTAGAGATAATTAATTATTTCTGGTATGCAATCGAAACGAGAAACCACTACCGGCTTTTCAGGTTAAAAGTAAACAATTTAATAATGCGCTGCATTCGCCGCCATATTTGCCTTGCCCATATCATGTTGATTGGCCTTGAGTTGAGGTGGTGCTGGTCAAATCAAATCGCAATGTTGCCAGTTGTTGGCTGGCGCACGAGGACGGTTCTGCAATGTGATTGGGCGTATTTTTCATACGTCATCAATTGGCACTTTAAAATTATTTCAAATAAAAGCAATTTTGATGGCCTATAAAAAAATTATTCAATGTCATGGAACTATTTTTTTTTGGATAAATATACTGAAAATAGTCTTCTATTTCAGATTTTGTCCTTGAATTGGGTATTTTATTTTTTGTGAAAGAGCCTATTGTTACATTTATTATTCACATCTCCTTGAATAAGATGTTTCACTAGTCCGAAAAAGTAGCAAAATAAGCGTTCGCCATTTAACGTTTTATGTAAAACTGGCTAGGTATTTTTACACAAATGAAGAAGGAAATTAAAGATAAAGGATTATACTATATCCGTATTTTATCACAGTTTTATACAACTTCTTTATTTTTAAGATTTTGATAGTCAAACATCAACAAAATATTCCTAAAGTTTGGACTAAATTTTCTCGAAAATAAAGACATAATTTAAAATTTACCGTTACAATACGGAAACATATTTGCAAAAAAAATATTTTGACTACTACGCCTTAAAAATGCGAAAAATAATCTTCTAATACTGATTTAGTTCGAAGTTCCTATTCCAGCAAACGTTTATTAAAATTCATGTAAAACAGATTGAAATCGCAAAGCGTTCTTTTTTCACTTTGTGATCAAATGCCGCGAAAATCTGACAAGTACAAAGAAACATTTGATATATTCTCTCACTTTGAAGCGAACTGCGATATTTTCTCGGCCACCATGATAAAGCAGTCGATTAAAATGTCAGTCAAACGCTGCATAATGTGCCGCAGAAGCCGTATTTTTAATTCTCATACTTTTTTCTGATTTGAAATAAAAACTTTGAATTTAATGATTTTCTTTGTAATAAAAATGGTTATGGATGTTAGGTTAGGTTTAGCATTGTGTTGTTCTGTATTCATCACATACTAAACCAATGAATACAGAACAACAAACAAAAAATGTAATATAACAAATACCATGTGAATGCGATAAATTTTACATTGGTGAAACATCTAGACCCTTAAAGGTTCGAATTAAAGAACATAAAGATTATTTAAGAAAGGGAGATTTTCACAAATCTAAGATTTGTCAGCATTCATGGGACACAGGGTACAGAATAAATTTTAATAACGCCAAAATTATAATGAAAGAAGCGATAGCCTCAAAAAGAAAGATAGCCTTTTTTAATTCAATCTAATAAAAATAAATGTATTGCTCATGCATCTGGAGATATTAGTAATGTATGGCAATCGCTTCTTTGATTCTAAAGAACATAACATAAATAAACATACGTAAAATTTAAAAATAATCATACAGAAAGTTTGGGGCTTTTTGGTTTTACCTTATTAAGTAATTGTTATCAGGTAGTAATTGCTAATTTTGAAGTTTAACTTGACATAATGTCCTTTTAACCAGTGGCGGATACAGAGGGGGGGGCCATGGGGCCCGGGCCCCCCCTAAAATCTGTAAATTGGGTTAAATCTTAGGCTCTTGGGTTAAAAATGGCGCCCTAAAAAGCATATTCTACATTACTTTTTATTTTGGCCCCCCCCCTAAAATAAATTCCTGTATCCGCCCCTGCTTTTAACAGAACGTCAACGGTTTCTTGTAGACGTATCTGTTTTAAAAAAGTAAATGTTCTCGAATAGTTGAATTTAAATATTTTAAATAGTTTTTTTCTTTGTATTTTTTTTGCTTCGGACGACGGAAAGAGATAAACTTTCCGAAACGTTAAGCATTTTTTTCTTTGTTAGGCAAATTTGTATAACTGTAAACATAACTTCTGACAAGCAGTGTCCGTTTAGGTTTAACGCCAGAAGTGTTTACAAAAAATAACTATTTTATTTTGTAGATTTTCTTGCAGTGCAGTGGCGAAATACCCATAAAGGATTTTTTTGGAGAGATGAACATTTTACTTCTAACTTTTCCACCAATAAGGAATATACGTAGATATATTCATCTAACTAAATAATTTGATTGCTGCTTGGTTCGTACCTGACACTGTCGCTACCTGAGCTGCACGAGCACGTGTCGTAGTCGTAGGGGTAGTATAGGTCGGGTGGCACCGTCCTCCCGACCACCGCGCCCGCATGGTGCTGGGGGGACCTGGTGAACTGCGGCTGCGTCGTCGGGGGGGAGGGGCCGCCGAAGGTCGTTTCCCTGGTGAGGGGAGGCGCAGCGACGTTTCGAGGACATGGAGGGATCTGCAACCAAAAAGAAAATATACATTAATTCACTAATGTCAGGATCAAAATTTAGGCCGACTTGGGTTCATATCAGTTTAGGAAAAATCATATAAAATATAATTTCGGTCAGCCATTTTGGTATAAATCCAAGAAACAAGAGTTACTTGCGTGACAAATAACGAAAATCTTTGATTTTTCTCGGTTGTAAGTTCTGAGAAATTTCTTCGAGAGTTTTAAACCGTTAAAAGGTTACGAATGGCTCTTAACGCATGTTTCATCTTACCTTACACCCGAAACTGACAGGTAAAACGTTAAGAATCAAATAATTTATAGTTATTTTTTATATAAGACGATAATGCAATTTTATCGTCGTGTATAAAACAATATTTTTTTCTATAGCGAGTTACGTTTTAAAAAATATTCAGAAATTATTATTTCAAGGAATTTATTACGAGTAGAAAAAATATTGTGCTGGGTTGGCGTTGGTTTCTATGTAATTTGTGTATGATGTAATTTGTGTATGTAATATGTGTACAATGATTGCGTAGAGAATCTAAACAAACTAGGCAAAGAAAAAAGAATCCTCCAACTCTGTGTCTCACCAAGTGATAGTAGGTTACAGCCATAGATAAATGAAACAAGTTTAGATTGGAAAGTGCCCATAAGGACAATGTAAACACTATTTGGCGCTTATCTTGCAACGGTCGCGACCCAAAACTTTTAAAAATTTCGGAGCGGTTCGGCTTTTTCCGGAATTATATCGCCAAATATTCTTTATTCAAATTTATTATTATTTTCGTTTAATTTTATAAATAAAATACAATGTGTTGCATACAAGAAACTTTATTTTATATAAGGACGCATGTATGAAATACCTATGAAACATTGGAAACCGACGTTATGCCACGATCCACGATGGTTTTTGCAGTTCACAGTTCACAGCACAGCTTTTTAAGTCTTTAATGCCGCTTTTTCACAATTATCATCGGTTGGAGTAAATAAAACTTGAATTAAACTCACAAGATAGCAATATTACTTTGAAAATGGACGCTATAAACACTTTTCGGAATTTCTTTAATGAGAGCGGTTTAGGTTTTGAAAGATTATTATGATTTTTGAAGATTCTGACTTTGACAATAGAAAATTATTTCTGTTTTTGTTTGCCGTTGTTCTTAGCGACCGCTATAGCAGCGCCAGATCGCGTATAACGGTCGCGACCCAAAATAATTTCGCGACCTAAAATTTTTACGGACTTTCCAATCTAAACTTGTTGCATTTATCTATGGTTACAGCAATTACAAGAAATGTTTTTTTGACAAATAAATAAAGCGTCTCTTTAGTTGTCAGTTTTGCGTCAATATCAGGGGTGGGAAGGTGAAATAGCAAAAGCGGTTCCACCGTTTCCACGGAAATCTCAAATAAAATAGTTCCAGCCCTAGCCACTAGGTGGTAGTGCAATTAATTTTTAGGTTAAGAAGTTGCTACTAGTTATTGCCAGATGGCGTTAAATCAGAATTTTTTTGTAGTTTCCATAGTTTCCAACGGCCATTGTCATATTATTATCAAATTCTCAAAAAATATTGTCGTTGTCATAGCGCCAATCATAATATTATCAAATAAATGATTATCATGCTCTAGACACTCAATGGTAATTTTATAGAACTACAAATTTAGTTTCTTCCGCATCGCCAGACGGCGCAAAAGACATTAAAGTACAGGTTTCTAATTTATATTATGAAGATGACATGACAGTCTCTATGTTAACTACTGTCTATGGTCTAGTTTTTGTCTAGTTGACAAAATGTTGGTGATCCGTCAAGTTATTTTTAAATCATTATTTAAATAATTATTAATTCAGATATTCCTGATTTGTCGGAAAGTTCAGTGATTTGTGTTTATAGTTTGTGTTTTTATTAGTTTGTGCATTCTGATACTTACAGTCGATCATCATTTTCATGTTAGATACTAAACTTTTTTATTAAAGTCATTTTGACATTTTAGAAATAATAATTTATAAACCAAATAAAAAAAATAGTTTAATCATAAATAAGTAAGTATAGTATTTTTAATACCCATTTAGAATAACACCATCCTTATTTATTATTAATAAATCAGTTGAAACAAAAAATTACCAACAAAAATGAACGTCGATTACTAATAATTTGTTAGATGTCACGTTTTTGAAGTTACGTTTCATGTTAATGTCATAACGCAAAATAAGATATAAAAAATGCGATAAAATGATGAATCCAAAAAACTTATGCTTATATTGTAGTAAACTATTTTTGCGCTTGAATAACGTTACCGTTTTCAAAACGATTTAGGATCTCGATTTAAGGCAATTCAAAAAGCGTCCGAAGCACTAAAAGTCCCAGAATGCACATTATATAATCTAGAAAAACCAAACAGAGCTACAGATTTCGAATTTAGAAGAAATATGTCTGCAAGCGTTTCCCGGAGCAAAATCCGAATTACAAAGAAAACCCTACATTGTTTGAGGGAAGTAATTTACAAAATGTATGCGCGAAAGGATAAAATCACAGTAGAAACTCTAAGAGTCTCCAGAAACTAAGATTTCCAAAAGTTCGTTATATTTGGGAATTAAAAAAATGGGTTTTCATTTCAAAAAACGGGATGGAAGAAAACAGTTATTGGAAATGCCTGGAATCAGATTAAAAAGAATATTATTTTTGAACAAATACCATGCTGCTAAAAGTGAAAAGCTTTTTACACCTGTTTTTCTGGATGAGACATGGATTTTTAGTAAAAGCGGGGATAGAAGAATGTGGCAAGATGGTACTAAACACAGTGATTTAAAAAAAACTGGAAGTGGGACGCGATATGTAATTGTTCATGCCGGTAATAAAAATGGTTTTGTGGTAAATGCATCGCTAATTTTTAAATGCAATAAAAAAACAGGTAATTACCATGACAACATGAACACCGAAAATTTTGAAAACTGGTTTAAAAAGCAACTAATTGTAAACTTGGAAGAACCATCGTTAATTATAATGGATAACGCAACGTACCACAGTCGCCTGGATGAAGAAATCCCAAGAAAAAGTTAGAGCAAAACACGCATGTTAGAATGGCTCAAAAAGAAGAATATTCCTTTTCCAGATCACATTTTAAAGGATGCTGTTTGGAATATAATTGAAAAGCAAGTTTTTCCGGAAAAAAATTATCATTTAGATAAATACGCTGCCGAGCATGGTCATTGTGTTCTCAGGCTACCACCCTACCATTGCCATTTTAATGCAATCGAAATGGTATGGTCTAATAATGGTATGTTTTGAATATAGTTTACTACATTAAGCATAAGTATAAGCCTTAAATCGAGATCTTAAATAATATAGGTATTTTTTTAAGAAAACTCGGTATCTAGTTAATAAAACAATATTTTTAAAATTAGTGCGCTTCTTTTATATTTTTTTTATTACGTCAACATCTTTAGAATTTCATAAAATTAATTTTTATTATTATAAACCGCCACTGATAATATGAAATTTCAAGTCACTCCGCCAATGCAATAAGAAATATGTCAAGCATTTGACATGACAAAGGTCATAACCTAATTTTTTTCATGCGGGTTTAGATGGTGCAAGAAGCCGCATACGTTAAGTTACTAAAACGGCTGCTACCTCTAAATAGGTATTAAAAATACTATACATAGTTGGTAATATATAGTATTTTTAGTAACAGTTAATTAGTAGTCTATAATATTTTTACTATATTATAATTTAGTTGTTAAATCAAAAAAATAGGCGCTATGTGATCTATTGTTGGTGTTTAAAATGTATGTATTTATAATTTTAATTTTGTTTTAATTATGTTACACTTCTAGTGGTCTAATAAAATATAAAATGCGGTAAAAAAGTCTATATTTATTATTTTATATTTTACAAGGATTAATTTTGCGCTTGAATAACGTTACCGTTTTAATTAGCGTTAATAAGTAACGGAACGCTAAAATTATGTTATGCCAAAACTCTCCATTAGTTTCTTCCGGATCACCAGGTGGCTCTAAATGACGGACCCATTTGTTTTATATCAGTGTCCAATCTATCTCTAGTACGTGACATTAGTCTATGTCTACTATTTTTGATAGATATAAGGCAATCTTAACAGTTGCTATGGAGAAAAGAATCAAAGTCAAACTTTTTAATTGGCACTTAGATGTTAAACTACATCCAAGATACGGGCTAAACAATTTTTCCACGCGTATTTCCTGCACGAATCCGTGTTGATACGTTCCACTCGCCTTTTTTTTGTCGTCGCCGCGTTAGCTTGTCGAATGTCATCGAGTGAACAATAGTCGATGGTTTTTAAAGCCTTGTCAGTGTCCAAGTGCCTTTGTTTAGCGTCCTCGTGCATGCAACGTGACCTAAATATGTCGGAAAATGACGCGGCGTTAGGGATGAACCGATATAAAAACAACTACGGTTATTTACTCGATACTTAGATTACTTTCGATATCAAGCATGTAATAAAATAAGAAAAGAGCGAAATACTATTTTTACAAGCTCTTTTTAAAACACTATTTAACACAAGAAATACCATCATCAGGCAACATGATATTTTTATATCTGTAAATGCTGGACCAACTCAGTAACCATCAATTCGAAGTTGGTCAATGATTGCGTAGAGAATCTAAACAAACTAGGCAAAGAAGAAAGAATCCTCCAACTCTGTGTCTCACCAAGTGATAGTAGGTTACAGCAATTACAAGAAATGTTGAACACATATACCTGGGCATACGAGGCTTTAGGCCTTAAGCTGAACATCGCCAAAACTAAAATCATGTGTACTCCCCCCGAAGATCACAACAATACTATAAAAATCGGAGAAGAACTATTGGAATATGTAGCGGAATTCAATTACCTCGGCGGTTTGATTTCGGAAAAGGCCAATATCGACTCAAGAGCATTCTGCCATTAGCTGCTCCTCAAGAGCATTCTGGAAATTTATAGACAGGGTTTTCTACTATCATGACTTGAGCACAAAAACGAAACTTGCAG